CCCTCTCACCTCAGCTCTGGGACAAGCCTGGCATGGCTGGCCTAAGGATTTAGTCCTGAATGCATCCAAATGTACCTGAAAGAAGTAAAACTGCGAGGAATTAAAATGTATAAATCAACTTTGCAGTCTCTTGCTCAATGCAAATTAAACAGTCTATAACACAGACACGAAACATCTGCTAAACAAAGTAAAAATTAATGAAGAAGAAAATTAAGATAGCTCTGTTGTTGCTTTTTATCAATTTCTGCTCAAATCTGAGCAGGGTTTAATAAGAATGCTGCCAGTTTGCAAAGTGATTCTGAATTGCTTAACTTCTATTTATATTTTCCTTGCATATTCTGGAGTTCTTCATAAAAGTGGGAAGTTTGTGGTGCAATAATCCACCAGCAAGTACTTCACAAACATTTCCAAATATATCTCCACTCCGTAGTGATGCAAAGTTAAGCTGCAGCTTAAGTGAAATAGCAGTTTAGGGAGCAGCTCTGGCAGTTGGGATCGTCTTCTGCTTTATCTGCTGGGTGGTTTTGGTGTTATTTCAGTCCTGCCCCAATTCTCAGCGAGTTCCCCTCTGGAAAACGACAGGGAAAAATGTGTTTTGAATAATTCTACAGAGGGTCTGACAGGGAGAGCTCAGAGTAACCAGGGGGAGTTGCCAGGAGTGTGTCACGGGCTTGAGAGGTGGAGTCTTCATCAAAATTTTTTTGGGACTGTGCTTCCACCAAGATCCAAGCAAAGATTCCCACTGAGGTCAGCGGGAACAGAGCTCCAGCTTCTCATTCCCATTTCGTTGGCACTGTCAGTGTTACAGTTGCTTTTATACACTTGGATATACTTGGATATACTTTTTATACACTTGGATCACCTGGAAGCTGCACAACTACTGAGCTGATCTCACTTTTCACCTGCAATAGCCAATTTTTCTTGCAATTCTAGAATTGTACTAATTCAAGGTTTCTGTAAGTTGGTCTCTTCTCCCAGGCAACTCTCAGCAAGACAAGAGGGCTTGTGGCTTGTATCAACTGAGATCAAAAAGGAAGGATAAAAACTTTATTTACCTGTTATCAAAACTAATGTAAAAAAAAAAAAAAACAGTTTATGGTGTTGCTGCAGCATTATTCCTCTGGAGAGCTCTGCCTGTGTCATCCCAGATACCCTAAAATCCGTTTCCTTTAAAATATCTGAAAAGCACGGGATATTTTACTGCATTGCAGTTTTATTCCTGACGAGCAAAACTCCAGTTTTATAGTTCTTGTTGGGACTGATTTTTCTATTCTGATTTTATATCTGAACAGAAGAAAGAGGAGATGGCCCTGGAGCCCTCAGGGAATAATTTGCCCGAATACTTCGCAGGACTAACCTGCAATAAACTACATTTATGTCTGATTTGTGCCAATAACAGCGTTTGAATCGGAAAATCATGAAAAGACTTTCCAGCTGAATGCACAAAACAGTAACAGAAGCATTCTCCAAATTTTAAGACCCATGGGAATATTATAGAACAGAAATGGTACAGATTTTGGTAGTATTTTAACAAGGAAATTTCCATCCAACTAAATAGTTCCTGTAGTGACACTGCCCAGTAAAGCTGATCACCCACCAGTGTTGTATCCTCACTGTTCATCCCCAGGGTGAAATAACAATAACTCCATAATAAATTCACTTTGCAACTACAGGAAATGAAATAGATTTTTATTGTTGTTATTATTTAGGTTATCCTTGTAAGGATATTTACAAAATGAGACTTCTTACAATGAAAACCATTGGATTTTTTTAATATAAGCAAGAAATGACAGTGTTAACAGTGGTGGTATTGTGCAAATACTGAGAGCTTTCTCATTCTTTATTTTAATTCTGGGCACCACAAAAATTGCCTAGGAAGGAAAATTTTATGACAATTTTTCCTCTTGGACCCCAGATTTTCAATTTTATTCCATATCAGGCAACATATACGCCATGCCTATGTATTAGACCACTAAACAGACAATGAATATATGTTTATTTATAAGAGATTATTTGGTTGCCAAAATCAGCAAACAAATGATGCCTCAACCACTTCATGCTCCGCGCGAGCAGGAGGAGGAGCTGTTGAGCAAGAAATGCTTTTCCCCACTTTTTCATTATCAGCTCGGGTGTAATTATTCAGTTTATTTGCGGAGCTGACTCAGAGATTGCTTTTCATTCCTTTCACAAACGAACAAAAGTTTGAGTTCGCCCCCCCAGCAAACCCAAAATAAAATAGCAACTGATATCCCGAATATTTAGGACGTTTTTAGTGTTGATTTCCAGTGTTTAAAAGGATGTCTTTGGATCCTGAAGTTGTTTCTTCAATGGGAAAAGCTGACAGAGGAACCAGCACATGATTCAGCCCTGGGGTGCAGGATGAGACCTGGAAGTGGGTTTGGTGGCTCTCCCTGGATGCTGCTTGGAATTTTGCACTTAATTGGTGTAGAACTTGAGCTGAACACCCGAATTATTGGCATTTAATCAGTGGGCAGCTCCATTTCGATTTTACACACATCACTTTGCACTGGCCCCATCCCGATTGCAGTGCCTTCCCCATCCCATCTCTCCAGCAGAACCAGACTTCACCTGTGCCCTGCTGTTCCAGCCCTTTCTCCAAGAAAAGTTTCAGCCCCTCAGCAGCTGTAGGGCCTTTCAGATCATTTTCTCACAGCCAAGATGCCTCTGGAACCAACTCAATCTCTCCTGCAGCCTAAAATATGTATAATGTAATGGGAGAGAGGCAACAAGAATCATTTTGTTAATGGGCTGCTCCAAGAAGATGAAGATTCTCCTGCTTCTGGGGGCATTTAGCACAGGGAAGATCCTGCACTTGCCTGGAGAAAACTGTTGGGCAGTGCATGGATACGAGTCCTTGGCAGCTGAAATAATGATGAGGAGAAGCTGCTGGTGGCTGGAAGAGTGATTTGTGTGCTCTCTGGCCTGGAACCACTTTATTTCACTTCACAATTCCATCATCTGAATTCAAATTGCCACCAGTGAAACACGACTTCCATAGGAGTCATTGTTCCCTGACAGCACATGCACATTTATATTGCATTAAAATGAGGATTAAATAACTACTTAGTTGGTGGTAGTGATCAGTATTCTCCCTATTTTACACTTATTTTGTCTTTCCTTAAATATAAAATCAAATAGAATGAAAAGAAGCCATAATAGAGATAGTATTATTAGAATTATTAGCTACGTAGTTTTTAATATGAAAAATATCACTTCATTGGTGCTCCTTATTTATCCCATTTAGCCTTATGTTTCCTAGAAGTTTTGTGAAGTATTTTAATTCCTATCCAATCACCATCATAAGTTAGAGATAAAACATGCTGGTACCAGATCACCAACTCACAGGTTGTAAAGACCCCAGGGCTCAACTCAAGCACATTATGACAGATGGGAAGATAAAGGCAAGAGTTTCTCCGGGCCTGAAATGAAAAACTTTGGATAAAATACTAATGAAGTGTTAAGTACCTGTAAGATTTAAAGCAGTGTCACTTTCTATCCTACATCTGTCATGAACTTTCCTGCTCCTCAGAGCTGGGTAGAAGAATCGGACACAGAAAGGCTCAAATCATTAACTTTGGGTTAACCAGGCCTGGGTTTACATAATTTACTTGAAGCTCCCACTTCCTCTGGACTTTTGTTAATGTGGAATTTACACATAAAGATAAATAAACCCTTATTTTGCCAGTTCTTTCAAAGATCAGCTCAAGTAAATTATGGGGCAGAATCCGGCACCTCCCCTTGTTGAATTTCCCATGGTTGGCGATTCCCAGCCCTCGGATCCATTGAGGTTTCTCTGCAGGCCTCCCTGCCTTCCAGGGACTCAACAGCTCCTCTCAGCTTGGTGTCATCTGCAAACTCGCTTCGCTTGTCCTCTAGAAGAATCACAGAATAGTTTGGGTGGGAAGGGAAGTTAGAGGTTATGGAGTGCCACCCCCTGCCATGGGCAGGGACACCTTCCACTAGCCCAGGT